ATACAAAATTTAAAAAAATGTTAGAATAAATAGAAAAGAAACGACCTTTTTTCATGATTGTTGCAAATCACCTTCTTGCTGATCCTGTTTCAAAATAGCTGAATGCATGGCTTTCAGAAATTTAGATAATGTAGTTTTTCCTGTTGACGTATGAAGAGCATGCGCCAAAAATGGTATCTTTCTTAAAGTACGTCCAGTCAAGCCATCGCTCTCGCGACTAAGTTCCAACAGTTTGAGGCTATTCTTAATATCGTTCGCGTATTCTGTGTATCCAATTCTCTTTAATTGCGATATGTCATATATTTCTTCAGGTTCCAGTATTTCAGTCTGGAACATATGTGAAACAGTATAATGTTAATGTAATGAAATAGCATAACGTTAAGAAATCTCATTAATATTTGAGTAATATTTCTTATGTCATAGAACATTAAGTCAATAGAATGTTAAGATGTATATTGTAAGTAAACTATTATTGTAATCAATATTTGTTAGATTAAGTATTTATGTTATTGTGTTTCATGGGAGATTAAAATAAGTCATACATACTCTCATTAATTCCTTCAAGCATGAATGATAAATGTTGTAAATAGCGGTTTCAGACGGATATCCGAGATATTGCTTGATGTCTGCTCGATCGATAAAGGCAAGATCTATAGCTTCCGTCATATTGCTCGTTGTCAAAATTAAAACGTTTGGATATCGTTTGATTTGATCCAACTGCGTAAGCAATGCGTTCACAACACGTATGGAATCGGACGGTTCGGTCCCGTTGCTGCATAATTTACGTGCGTGAGCTAACGACTCTACTTCATCGATCAGAATGCATATCAATGCTTTTTCATCTTGAACCAAATTCTTTATTTCATCAAACAACTTCATAACAAGTTTCCCACTCTGCAGCAAAATACAAAATATCAATTTATCTGATATTAATGTAATCTGAATAAGGTAATGTGTGTGTGAATTTTGTTATCTATATTCTGTATTATTATTTAATATGTAAATTGAATTTTTTTTTAATTTTTTTCTGTACTTTAATCTTATATTCATTGTCTGTTCCGAACTGTCTGTCCGAACCTTACCTCTGAGAACCATTTTGAAAACAAGCTATGACTGTTAATCTCTATAAATTTCCCATGAGTGAAGCGATCTCCCATACGAATGATAGCTTTTTGAGCGAGAGCTTTGCACATACTGGTTTTACCTGTACCTGGAGGGCCATGTAACAATACCACTTTATTCCAGCTTATAATATTAGAGTTAACAGCATGATCAGAAAACAACATAGTCGTCTCTACAAATCGTAACAACTAAAAAAAAAAGAAATAAAATTAAAACCAAAACCGATATATATATATATATATATATTTCAAGTAATTGCAATTATACAAATAAAAAATTTATATTAACAAATGAACTATTAAATTTACTAACGTTATTCTTTATATCACAATCATAATATAAATTTTCCCACATATAGTGAAATTCCTGGGCAGGTAACAACCAGTGAGATGCAACTGGTAATTCGTCAGAATCACATTTCATTGTTTCCATTGCGGCGCCATCCTCCGTCAATCTATAGATATAATATTTAATGGTAGCCCCTTGAATCTTGAACTTTCCTCTCTGAAATAAGCATACATATCTTTATTACACAAATACAAAATATCTTTTTAAGATAAATTAATGACATAAAGATTAATGATACCTCAGCATAGTCAGATGAGCATATTATAGATTCAACATGATCTTTTATAATTATGCTCGTAGAATCTTTGCCATATAGAATGACATTGAGAGAAATTTCTCCTAACAATTGAAGTTCCATATTTATCGCTTCTTCAATCATGGTTTTTGGCAAAGTACTGAAATAATAGGAACATAGTACAAGGAAATTATTTAGATTTTATGAATTAAAACGAAATATGAGCCTTTGAAAGTTTTATCAAAACAAATTTCATGTCATTTCTATCAATGTAAATTAATTTTGGTTAATTTTTTTGTTTAGTTTTAATAATTAAACAAAAAGTAAACTAAATCAAGATTAAAGTTAAACTTTATTGATCAAACACATCATGGACATCAAACATATTTAAGTGCAAGTTACTATTGAAATTTATTAAATTACTTTGGGCTTTAATTTTCAATATTATCATCCCAATAAAATAGTTTTAATAAGTTCGGAAAAAATATTACTTTGCATATTTATTCTCATAGATTTTATCTAATAAATAGAATTAAGTAATCTCTAATGAGTCTATCATGACATTTAATATGTATATTAAATTACATGTAATTTTATATAAAGGATAAGATAATCTTTTTAAGGTTAACATAAACATAATGATCAGATGTTTCTATTTAAAAATCGAATAATACATTCATGTATCTGCGGCAGAATAAATCCAACAATGAAAACAAAACGTAAACAATACCTGCCGGCATGTTGACATATCTCTACGTGTAACACGTTCTCCTCCATTTCTACAAATCTCACAGCATAGAACAATTTATAAAATTTGAAATAGTCAATGTTATGTAATAAACAAAATTGCAATAAGATCGCGTGCTTATTTTCATCGAGAAATGCTGTCTAACCGCTTTCACGTTTTGCGTCGTATTACTTTGTTCCGGTTCCGTGCTATCAGATTCAAAATTTGAAGTCGTTAAGCTGTGAGATAGAAAAAAATCTAGACACTGACAAAGGAACAAATACGCCTAGCGGAGAATTTCAGAACGAATGACCAAGCACATTATCTTTTGTAGGTAATTCTTTCTTGTAGGTAATTTCTGACAGAACATTCTAGAAACGTCGAGTCTTGAGTCCACATCCATTTTGATCTGTTTAAGACTGTTTTATATTTATTTTCTATCAATATATAGATTAACTTCAATTTCAGTTTACTCTTTATCAAATTCTTAGAACTAAAGAAGATAAGAAATAAGTTAAAATCAAATTTAATCTCTCAGTTGATAGAAATAGATATTAGAGAAAGATTTAGAATGTACATAATGTATATGCGTAAGAAAATTGACCAATCGCGTATCTAATGTAAAAAATATGTATCAATGTGTCAATATTCTTTATTCTTTAGATTTAGGATTATCCATTTGTTTTTTTATATTATGCGTTATATAAGTTTTTAGATTGTTCTAGATCGTTCTAGATCATTCCAGATTATTTGAGACAGTACAGTCGATATAAATCGATATTTCTTCAAACATTCAGAATTACACGAGATGTTATAACATTATTTCATTCTTTTGATCGAGTTTATCAACTCCAATTAATTTTACTTACCTGATTAATTGAAACACAATCAAGATACAAGATACAAGATAATGTTGTCAACAGCAAAATTTCCAACTCACGATATTCAAATTGGCTATATCATTTAAACTGATATATACGTATATTATTGGTGTTATTTTATATAAATAAAAAAATATGCATATCACATAATTATTTTATTACCAATAACAACTTACTTCTTCCTTATAGAAATAGCATTGATGGATGCTAGCGTTCTTTGTTTGAATAATTTTTTTTTTTTAAATTGGATGTTCCTCCCTCGAAATTCTGTTTTATTCATTTTATACAATGTTCACTTGTATATCGTATTGACTCTCATTAAATTTATAAACAGATATCCTTATTCTAAGAAATGTAAACATGTATTTCTTATATGAAGCCTCGTCGTGTTGCCCTTCTAGAGACATTATTTATTTTCTATAAGACTCATATATTCGACGAAGATTCAAGAATTTGTCCTTTCGCGGTTGTATTAGAATGTACGAGATTCTTCCCTCGCCTTCGTCATCTCGAAATATCGTGATGTTTCTCGACGCATGCGCCACTGTATATATACGTACACTGACGTGGCGAATGAGATCAGAATTGGTCAGTACGCTGTCAGCGAGCAAGTGGGGTGTTTGATTATCATCAACCCAGTAATTACAAGGCAGTTACGAGGTGCCTGATTGCATCACACGCAATCAATAATAAACCTATTTTGTCTTGAAGCTTATCGTGAATCAACAAGAAAAATACTGCAAGATGGCTCATTACGTCGTAGACCCGTCAATACTGGTGGGATCACTTAATTGGAAGGACGTTATACGTCATCTCCTGGAACAGGAGATGGACAACGAGGTGAATCATTGGCGATCTGCAAAGTCGCCGTCGTTGCCACTTGAAACCCTTGCTGTGTTGCTGCGACCGAATAGCGTGGACCGTGTCGCAGATATATTGGGTTCGACATCCCGTCCTAACCAGCATCCACAGGAATTTGTCGTCAAAAAGGACGACTTCCAGGTGGCAGTGGATGTGTGTCATTTCAAACCGGAAGAGGTCGAGGTGACGGTCAAGGATAATCACATTGTCGTCACAGCCAAACACGAGGACAAGCGGGACGAACACGGCTGGATATCCCGGCAATTTACCCGGAGGTTCCAGTTACCAGAAGACGTTGACGTCGATCAGATGATTTCTAAATTATCCTCCGACGGTTTTCTGACAATCGTCGCGCCCAAAAAGCAAAAGCTGAAGGATGAGACTGTGAGGACTGTCCAGATCCAATACACTGGGAAGCCTTTCGAGAACAAGCGACAAGAAAAGCCGAAGCAGCCTCAGCAAAATGACGAGAAGGAATCGGAATAAGGATCGGACATTTCAAAACAATCTATTATATATCTTTCGCTATTAAATCAATATTGTGTTTTGAATAGATTGTTGATAATTCTATATAGATACATAGCAGGTTTTCCTATTAGATTCAGCATACAGACTTAACACATCTATCTCATGAGTTAAATCTGTGATAATTATATATGTGACAGTATTCCTAAACCTATGTAATGCATTTATTTAACAACTTTCTAAAACTAATTGTAATAAATTATCTCTTAGAATTTATCTATCAAAAATACTTCTAGATCACTACATATTAAAATTGACAATGAAAAAGATGATTAGACATGATTAATTACTCAGTTTTGTATTATTTATAATTATGAAATTGAACTTTTTATAATCTTATAAGTTTATTTTAAGTTTATTAAGATAGATCAATTAGGATTTATTTTCCATAATAAAAGTACCTGTTAGATAAAATAAAATATTACAAATTATATTATTATTTTTAAGTTTGCCTGGAACATAGAAAATTATCGATGTAAAGATTAATTTGTTGTTTGTTGTTAATTTTGTAAAGTTTGATGTACTAAAATGATATGATTATTTAATAAATGTAAAGATTAATTTTTTAAAATTATGAGTTATTATTTAAATGTCTTATTAATTATATCAAATTTATAATTTTATTATCTTTTACATATTGATATAATCTTTTACTTCTTTCATATGAAAACATTTATATATCTTATTTTATTTTTTTAATTTATTAAATAAAACTATTGTGTAGACGTTCTTTTGATAACAAATTTTTTTTAAATTTTGATTTTATTTTTTCTTTGTTAATAGAAATATCAAAGTATAAAAAATCTTTAAACTATAATTAGAATAAAAAATGGACTTTAGAAAGTCAGGTAAGGAATAAAATATTTTTAATTTAAGTTGAAACTTAATATAAAGAAATTGTTTGTGAAATTGTAAAAATATATAATGCAAAAAAAATTATAAATACACATCTTTTTAATCTTTTACCCTTCAATATTTCCTCCTATATATTAATATTAATTAAGAAAAAAAGATTCAAAATTTATTATATCATACACCTAAGTTTATTTCTATAATATTTCTATAACATTAAAATAAGATAAATGCATAATCTCTATGCATAATCTCCATTATTAAATATAACACTAATTCATACATATTACTTACATTACATACTTACAAGTATTCTGTTTTTAACATTATAAATGCCCTTTTGTAAAGATAACTTTCTATCATATATGCAAAATATGTACACAATAACATGCATAATGGAGTAATTTTAACAGTGTTTCAAATAAATATTTTTTTTATTTAACTTTAAATATTAGCAAATATTAAATAATTTCTTTATAAATTTATAAAACATCTTTTTTAAATCAAGAACATAATATATTTTAATAAATACTTATTTTAAGATATTTAAATTTTCTAAATTAGATGATAGACAGATCTTTTAATCAGAATTAACCTTATTACGAACATTCGTTTGAAGTCGTTTCCTTTTTAAATTTGTGTTCTTCTTAAATGATTTATTATAAATAAGTGATAAAAAATGATTCACCTTATAACGAATTCTAAAGTATCGATGTCTCGTAACACACTTGTACTGTTGTTCATGAATCATGAACATATGTTGGAATGGAAAATGGTCAAGGACTCTCCAAAACATGCATGAGCCAAAATATTTAAACAACATACACAACATACATTCACAAGGTTTCTTTGCAGAAGACGCCTCTTTAAATAAAATATTGATAATGTGATGCATGTTATATTCATTATTAACGCTTGTATGCATCCGAATCGAAGTTTTACTCTTATTTATAATTCTAATTTATAGATTTTAAAGATGCATTATCCAAATGTAAATAAAATAATTTCTATGTCGCAACAAAAATCTTAAGATTATTTAAATTTACTGAAATGCGGTAATAATGCACGTATTGCAATATTTTCATACATATATAATATGTTGTCTTTGCTGCAATGAGACACTGTTTCATATTCAATACTTGAACAATACTGTTTTATAGAATTATTAAAATATTTCATTTACATTTAATTTATCGAAATTGTCCTACTTTATATTCAAAATTAGTAAAAAGTAATTGTCTATTTTCAGATTTAAAAAAAGAATTTTTAGTTATCTTATCGAAAATTTTGCAGTTCTAAATAAGAATTGTAATTTAAGAAATATCAAAAAAGATCAAATTTTTTTAATTAAAAAATTTTAAATATTAAAATATATGCAAAAATACTAATTAAGATCAAAAATAGGAAAAATATTTCAATTTCAATAGGCTGTTTTATTATCATTCTAATATTGTGGCAAATCTTAATATTTTATATTTTTTAAAATATGGAATAACAAAATCAATAATTTACGTAAATATTATTTAAAATTTGCAATTACATATCATTTGTAACTATTGACGTGTAAATTGATAATTTTCTGATCGTATCCATTTCATTTCTCCACAAATAATGATAGATGAAAGACATTATGATTGCATCATACTTCAAAATAACAAATAAATTTGTGTCATTTTCATAATTACTTTCCATTCAGTCATCATAACTTTCCATTCATCAGTCATGTTGACTTTCCATGTCATCTCAGTTTATTTAGCCGCCAAACATGAGTGAATTGGTCATATTTGTCTTCTGTACCAAAATCATTGACGTGGATTTTATTTTTTAAAAATACTTCAAATGCTTTTCTAATAGATACTTTCGTTTTGTTCTTTTGCAGACTAGCATGTAACTTTCGAGAATACACAGATTATTAAACACGAAATGAAACATTAATGTTTGTTATGATATACAAATGTATATTTCCAAGTGACGCGTAAATTTCCAAATTACGAGAAGATAATAAATGGAAAGTTTTAACTGCGCCGAAGTTCGAGCCAAATAGTTATCGAAAAACAACAGAAAGGGACAATTGAGTGCATCTCCGTTCACCGATTCATCGATAATCGTTGATGATTGCGCGAAAAGAGGGTTGAGCAGATTAGAGGAGGATCTATTTTAACTAAGTAAGTGCAACTTCCATCCGCGGTAATTTCTTGAAGCCCTACAACATTACAGATCGCGTCTCCCCACCCAGATCGAAGATCAGGCTCGTCAGATTAGACTTCGTCCGATATAAATACGGGTGCGACGATAGCCCCTGTATCAATTGTGCGGGTAATACCAGCATACGAGGAGAAGTTGCATCATACGCAAGCAGCGGATCAAAAAGAGGATACATCATGTATCTCTTGCCGTTTTTGTTATCGAATCTCCAGCTGGGTCTGAACGATCCCTTCCGTTCAGTAGCACTTACGCCCTCTTCGCGTTTTGTTAACGCGGACCTTTCCGCATTGGACAATCAAATCCATGGCATTAATTCTCACCAGGCCATTTTCGATCGAGGAGTTCTAGACTTCTTCTACAGACCCTGGAGGGTTGGTAGTGCCGGCATTGGTAGTGCCGGCGTTGGTAGTGCCAGAGTTAACGGCAACAATTTCGAGATCACCGTCAACGTGCAGCAATTCAGCCCGGAAGAGGTCTCTGTCAAAGTGGTTGACCGTTGGGTGGTTATCGAAGCCGCACAGGAGCAGCAGGACAATGAGAAGGTTGTCGCATCCCGGCAATTTTCAAGGCAATTCCTGTTACCTGGTCGCGCTGACGTCGATCAGGTGTCTTCCACGATATCGAGCGACGGCGTCCTGAAAATCACGGCGCCGTTGAAACCAGAGCAAGTAAAGGTAATCCAAGTCGAGCAAACCGGACAAGTGGCCGGACAAGCAGCAGGACAAGTGGCAGGACAAGTGGCAGGACAAGTGGCAGGACAAGCGGCAGGGCCAGCGGCCGGACAAGCGGCCGGACTAACGGCAGGACAAACGGCTGGATCAGCAGCAGGACAAGCGGTCGGACTAGCGGCAGGACAAGCGGCCGGACGAGCGGCAGGACAAGCGGCAGGACAAGCAGCAGGACACGCAGCCG